TCCATTCATTCCTTCGCTCGAATGTTTTCAAAAAGCTACGTTTCCCTGATCTTTCCCTGTTACCCATTTGTTTAGGTTCCCTAAGTATGTTGTTTTGGGCCTACCCGTGCCTTGCTTGCCCTCAATTTTGCCAGTCAGAGCTAAAGGTTCAAGACCCTTATGTCTATTCAGGTGTCCCAAAACTGCATCTGTCGTTTCCTGATTGTTTTGAACTTTGAGCGTCCCACGTAGCCTCATCAAGCACTACCTCATTTGATTTCTTTCCCTTCCTCGATTCTCTTAGCAGTCTCCTAAGAAACCATATAAAAGTAAATGTATAATATACAATGAAAAATCAAAGATAGATGACCTGTTCCTTCAGTGTTCCATTCTATTGCATCTATTTGCGATTTCAAATGAAAGGCTTTTCGGCACAACTCACAAATTATGAGGAAATAAGTAGACAACGCTGACGATTTTCTGGCAGAGATGTTGAAGACATCAGAATCCACGCGGTACAATATCTATTACTATTAATTGCAAGACGTATTGTTTCTTAATTATAATTTTTAACCATAAAAATGTTAGATTTAGGTTGAAGAAAAAAAGAAAGGAAAATTATAGTTGGAATAATACTTCTGGAAACAACCCGCCATTGTTCAACAAATTATCTTCTCTTCGGCGTTTTTGGTGTAGCGGTTAGGCACTTCGCTGTCGCATGCAGGAGACCGGAGTTCGATACCCTAGTGGGGAGAAATATTTATCGAGTATCTCGATCTTTGTGCTGTGATGTTGTATCCCTCTCCCTCTGGGTCGGACACTCGGCTCATAAATAGATATGTGAGTCATCGTGGTGGAATCAGGCTCTCGTCAAAAGAATCAAAGTGAAGAAATTTGCATTTTTCCGCAGGTTTGTGAATTTTTATCAAATTTTTGGGGTTTTTGGCTCAAAACCTTTCATGCCAGTTAAAGAACTCATTTCTGAGGGATATTTCTTAAAAAACGTTGATTAAAGGAACAAAAAGTGTAAATTTTCAGTTACCACGAACTCTTAAGCTAAGGAAATAACTAATCTTTGGCGGCCATTTTCTCACTAATTTTTCCTCTTAGAACAGGTGACCCCCACCTCCTTCTTTCGTAAATATCTCGACTTGCATTCAAGATAAACGGGTGTCTTTTTCATCCAAATAAAGACAAGTGAACAAGCTTTAAGATGGTACCAATAACTCTACATGCCCAAAAATTGACGAGAGCCTGATTCCACCACGCTGCCTCACATATTATGTGAGTCATCGAATGAAATCAGGCGCTTGTCAAAATAGTCAATGTGAAGAAACATAAGCTTTTCCGCTGCTTTGGCAATATTTTATCGAAATTATAAACTCATCACCTTCTACGCCCATTTAAGAACCTATTTCAGCGTGAATTATACTGAAAAACGTTTATTAAAGGCATTGAAAAAAAAGTAAATTGTCACTTTCCACTGTCTAATTATTGACGAGCACCTGATTCCACCGCGTTGTGACACATAATTATTCTAAATTGTGTAGTTGGAGGTGTAAAATAATCTACATTTAAAATATGTCTGACCTGGTTGTTGTCAAATTTCCCCTCACTCAACAGGCGTCGCACAAGCAACTACCGGCAGTGATTTTTACCCGTCCACTGACACTCGAGTGCTGCTCAAGACAACTGTCACAACGCGATACAACGCCTCCGAGGTACGGGCTATCTATCTATCTATCTATCTATCTATCTATCTATCTATCTATCTATCTATCTATCTATCTATCTATCTATCTACCTATCTATCTATCAGATCTATCTATCTATCTATCTATATATCTATCTACCTATCTATCTATCTATCAGATCTATCTATCTATCTATCTATCTATCTATCTATCTATCTATCTATCTATCTATCTATCTATCTATCTATCTATCTATCTATAAGCTAACGACAATGCCGGGATGTTGCAAGTCAGCCCCTGACACTGAGATGACACCTCTAAAAAAAGGGAATGGGTTGAACGCCCATATCAACACTATTAGGTTATTGAAAAGGCGAGACCTCCCAGTTTAATGTCCACCTCGGAAAGCAATAAGCCAAACGGGAAATTCGTGTAAAGTGCCATATTTATTTTTTAATGATTTATCTATTTATTTCATATAAACTTTTTGGCAAAATCTCAAAGCTTGTTTATAATTTGTCTTTCTTATTTGGAATAACATATCCATTTTGACCCCCCTCCCCCCCTCCCCCCTCCCCCCCTCCCCCCCCAAAAAAAGCATATCATTGGCTTTCATTGCTTGTTTACATGATGAGAAGACATTGATGATATTGTTTTTGCCTTCAGGTTTCCTGTGTGTTTGACTTTGGCGAAGACGGCAAGCAACCAATAGAGATACACAATCTCATGTTCAACAATTTAGCTGACTCTACAATCACTCTGGGCCTTGCTCCCTACCAGTACAGCACGACTGGAGACTTTGTGATTCAAATCAACTGTAGCAATGCAATCAGTCAGAGTAAGAAGCCTTTTTTTTTACTTTTAATTATTTGATTGGTCGCTTTTAAGCGCAAGGGGGCTATCCCGAAAAATAAATGCTGTTTTGAGAAAATCGAAGGTAAAGTTTTTTTTCACCTTGTTCAGTTTCTTCAAAAGACAAGGAGAATTTTCTCGAAAACCAAACAAATATACACACCAATGAAACCAAACTTCTTCTATAGGTAGGGCGATGCCCACTTTTGGTGTAGGTCAAGATTCCTGGAAAATCCTGAAATCTGGGTTAACCTGCTAGTCCTTAAAAGCGACTTATTATAGATAGCATTTCGCTACCCCCGAAATGCATAGTTCTTTCTGATATTTTTGGCCTTTTTGAGTTACTAAGACCATGAGATCAGAAAGAAAACGCTCTAACCTTATATCAAAATTTCAAGAATATTCGGAGTCGTTATCAAGACATTCAATTCAAAGAAATGCATTTGAAAAAGCTTGGCAGGTTGTGACACTCCTAAATTGTGACGTCAAATTTCTCAACATTAAGTATTGAGCAGATACAGCTTTGGAATTCTGAGGTAGCTATTTGTATAGCGGAATTCCTTGCTCGACAGCAAGCTCTATACGCTTTATAATCTATTTGTGAGGCAGCATGGTGGAATCAGGCTCTCGTTAATTTTTTGGCGTATTAAGTTATTGGTATCATCGTAAAGCTTGTTCATTTGTCTTGATTTAATTGAAAAAATTACCCATCCATCTTCAATAGAAGTGGAGATATTTTGGATTGAAGGAGGTGGGAGTCACCTGGTTTAAGAAGTAAAATTAGCGAGAAAATGGTCGCCAAAGCGTTGTAAATTCCAAAGCTGGAGAGTCCATGGAAATTTGTAAATATATATTTTTGTGCCTTTATTCAACGTTTTCGGTGAAATCCTTAAAGGAATGTGTTTGTAAATGGACAAAAAAGATGTTGAGCCAAAAAAACAAAAATTTGATAAAAATTGCTAAGCAGGGAGAAAACTGCTGTTTTCTTCGATTTCACTATTTTGACGAGAGCCTGATTCCACCACGCCGCCTCACATTTTATTACACCAGCACACCTGATAGTACCCCCCGGGGCGGTGCTACTGACTGAAGCGTCTTTAGGACATTCCCAAAGTGGGGGAAATTAACCTGTTTTATATGCACAGCAGACTTGTAATTTAATGGGCTGATTCACAATGTCATGCTCATAGCTGTGCCTGAACTGCAACAGAGGACTGCTGCTTTTTCTTTCCTAATCCTTACTGTCGTCAATTTTCCCTCTACTTCTTTTGTAGGTTTGTCATACTCTTGTGACCTGCTATTTCCGGGGTGCCTTGATAGTCGAAGCAGAGTTTGTTCTGTTGAAGCTAGAGAGGTGAGCAGAGTAAGTCTGATTCCCTGTACGGACTTCTCTGTTGACATCCACCCCTTGGCGCTCATATGACCTTATTCAGTTGCAAGCGCCGTAAAACGTCTACATAATTTATTATTTCCTCCTGTGTCTCATCCGGTTGTTTGTATGTTACTCTCAAGTGACACATTTATAATGCTCAAAACTTCAAAAAACTAACTGTGCTGCAAGTGCAGTAAGACTTACCAAAACATAACTTAAGTGCAGAGCATAAGAACCAGCGTACGTGTGTGTGTGTGTGTGTGTGTGTGTGTGTGTGTGA